TATATATATATGAAAGGAAGATGTGAACTAAAATGCTGCCAATGCGCAAACTGTGTGTAAGAAAAAACAAGTTTGTTGACGTGACTATATTATGTTGTTAGGTATCATCATAATAAGACAGTGTAGGTCTTATTTTCCGCACAAATTCGGAAGTTATTCGTTCTCGGAGATGATAATGGCACTGGACGTAAGTGAAGTATAATTATGTCTTATGCTCACTCCTTTTTCCCCGCCGATCACAAGCGCCATTTCTACTTTTTCTACCCATGCAAAGTGCTCCACGCTAAGTTGTGCGACAGCGGAGTAGAATAAGAAGCAATCGTCAGTTTAGTTCATCTTATTATCCTCTACGTTATTTGCCTTAGGAATTAGAGATGTCTTCTGTTGTAGCACAGTGACGAACGGAGTGAAAAAATGAGTCAATAAAACTTGTTAATACCATAAGAGCAAATTAAGCTATCACTAAGTATGTTACAATTTGTCGTGCGAGGTAACGAAATAGGCACCCACAGGATGACTAATATGGATGGATTAAATTAGAGTAACGACTGAGGCAACAGCACGTTTCAGAAACCAAGATAATGACATCAGTTTCTAAATTCTGACTGAAATTGCTCATATACATACAATGTCCTGTTTGCTGTGGACAACGGCCGGGTTCGTTTGCTGTAGAGTTCGGAAGAAACAAAGAACCCGAATTTGACTGAATTTGGATTCGAGTTAAGCAGAGGTCGTCCAAATATAAATCGCGTTATGAATAAAGGCTGTTTAGCTGCCGTCTGACGTGCCGACGTGACCGGCACAGATGATTGCCGTCAGATGACTGCTTATCATTAAAATGGGTGCAATAGAATAAAACTAATAACGATGAGCTGTAACGGAAGCGCTCCTCTTTACCCCAAACGACGTAACTGACAGCGAGCTGTGCCTATTGAACACGCCTCTATTTCGACGTAACCAACGGATTTTGTTGTTCTTCCTTCATTTCTTCGGATGTATGAAAGCGGCACAAAAAACAACTGCGAATCAGTGTATTGGTTGAGTTATTATCATGATTATACCGTTGTTATTATTATCAGTATCGTCATCGTGATTCCCTGTAATAAGCAAGCTTAGCCGTCGAGTAATTGCAAATCCTTAGTAATTTATTATGTCTTTATTTTTCTGCTGTCCTTTCGTTCTTTGTAGAATAGAAAGTGTTAAAACACGTCGAAACAGGAAAAATGCTCGTCATTTGCAAAAGTGTTCGTCTAAAGCATGGCCTTTATATAATGACTACTATGACTAGTTAGTGCTGCTGCCGTTACCACCTCAAAAATATTATACAATTTTGATTTGTCTTTACGTGCAAAGCCTCCTTTTCATTTCGTTGATGACCAGATCTATACTTATTATATATAAACGATATCCACAAAAGCTATTGTGAAAACTATATATATATACATAGTTAGGCTTAACGTATCAATTCTTACTATTATATGAGGAACAATTATCCTCTGACAGCTCTCTAATTATTGAAGTTATTATTCTATCCTACGGCTCATAATCTCCAATTCTTTGCAACCTTAGTGTAGGCATGGCTGTGTTTATTAATCGAAGCTTATTCAGTTTTGTTTCGATGTTGGCGAAATGGCCTGTTCACATATACCAGGATAAGAACAAAGGTACGAAACGGCAATGTGTGAATCCTTCGGATGCGGCTAGACAAGGACAAACATTTAAAAAAGAAGCAGGGCTGTAAATAAGCTTAGGTAACACTTTATGCTTCAACTTGAACAACTATACAAAATTGGATATAATCGAATTTTAAATCTTACAAGCATTGAACAGAAAGTACCGGACGTAAAAGTAAGAACATTTATTTAGTTTGAGTATTATTGTACTTATGTCTCGTGATATATTACATGTTCCAAATTGCTCCCTATCGCAACATAGGTAATGTTGCCCATTGAGCAAACAGTAATGTTCAGATTCTTTAGCCCTTATGAAGATTATAGCCATTGTTGAATAAATGAATTTGATTTTTAAACGTACGCTAATATTTACTTTAGACATTACGAAGGACGAACAAGTTCTTATATAGCTCAGATTCCCTAACATGCATTTCACCTCTTACTCTACTTGACCCAATTTTACTGCTGGTGTTCTAACACCAGCTATGTAACCATGTAGATTTAATTGAGACGGTAGCTGGCAAACACTCTGTATGACTCCTAACATGTGGAAAGCATGAAAGCTTCCAATGGCTCGATTTAGCTGATCGAATATCCTTCGTGCACTTCTCCAAGCTTGAGAACATCAGGCCGTTATTGAATGCAGGAAAGCAGCTAAGGTTTGAAGCCTTCGTATATATGAACACAGAAGTATAAACTGATAAACATGATATAAAAGATTACAACTACTCTATATCTGGTAATAAAATTGGACTAGAGGTTTACAGACAACTAATAGAGAAAGGGGAGATGAAACAATTTTCGGGAAAAGTTCGTAGTTTGCCACGACAACTAGAAAGCCGTATGCCTACAACCGGTATATATATAATTTTTTTAGTGCATAAATCCCATTGTCACACAGAAATAGATCGGGAGAATAAACGGATTGAAACCAAAGTTGAAGAATAATTTGCTCTCTCCAGGATGTACCTGAGGCACAGCGCTGTGTTCAGTTAACCAAATTACCTGTTCTAGACTGCCGTGCCAACACCCCATGAGTCTCTGTTGGAACTTTGTAGAAGATAGCAAACTGCATTGTTTTATTTTCGGCGAACGTTTCGTTGTAGTAGATGCCTTTGATGTATGTTGCATGTAGTACCACCACTTTACGTACGAACCTACTCGACACTGCCACCAGACTCGAATTCTCTCCTTGGAAACACCATTCTCTGGCCTGATACAGCAAAGATTGAACCATGTCTCGTTTATGGCGATCGTATGCTCCAGGTGGGTTTTCTTTTATAGCTTAAAATTTCGCAAATCACTGAAATACACCGCACGCGCTTCCAACTGGCCCGAAGTTAATTTACGGAGAGCCTTTTTTACTCAGTTCTCGCATTTTCAGACACGCTACGAGTGGAATGCTAGTTTTGGCCGACAGGACCCTTAGACTCCAAGCTCTGCGTTTGTAAAAAGCCTTCTTTATGTAGGTAGTGCGTTCTTGTGCTTCAAGTCCTGACATCTGGTCACCTTCTCATAGGCCTTTAACAATCTAATCCCCGTTCTTGAAGCGCTTGCACCACTCATCTATTGTACTTTCGCTTGAGGCCTTATCTTCAATCAGTTTCGGTGGTGCGGTCTTCGAGAAACAAAAACTTTATTAATAAGCGTTGATTTTCGAGACTAAATGGTGTTTTTCTTTTGTGAACTAATATCTCCTAGAGAAAACTCAATAAATTTCCACTCACAAGTTCCCTGAAAATCGTCTGCCGACGGTGCACAATTCAAAGGTTATTCTGTTTCACAATCCGTTGAATTCGCTTAGAACAGCCTAAAATGTATATCCTAATTTAAACATCAGCAATAAACAGCTGGTAGCAGTTACTAAGTGTTACGTCTAAGACTGTAAACGTAGAGAGCCAACTCGCATACGAAATATATAGATATATGGATATTTATGTATATATATATATGGACCGCAGGTAGGGTTACGTCGACTACTAATGATATCAGGCGAAGAACTCAGTAATTTAATAAAACTAAAGAAAGAAGGCTTCTCATTGTTTCTAATTGATTCCAAATTAGGCGAGTTAAATATTCTATATATATATAAAAATATGAAAGGACCGCATGAGATACTTCTGCGTACTTTTGAAGGTCTTTTGGCTGACTTTTCGAGGTCTCAGCCACTGACACATTCACAAGTTGCATTTTGTTTGAGAAAAGAGGAACAGTAACAATATGCGGATGAAATACAATCATGACTATCTGCATAGTAGAGCATATGTCACCAATACTGCTCTGCCCGGATGATCCGTTATACCGATCAAATCCTGAAAATATCTTTCGAAAATAATCACATGTGACTACAATACGTTGCTAAAATACAATGCCACACTTTTATTTGACATATATAGGCATGAACGCATTCCTAATAATCAAGTTTTATTCTGAAGCCACTTAGTTCGTTTATTTTCTTTGTAAAATTAGCATCGACGTTATCCGTTTTCATATTTGCTCGAGATGAGTAATCCATAAGTCCCACTTCATAGTGGTCCATGTAGCCTCCAACGTAAATTATTTCAATGCAATAAGTTCTATTGAGTGCATTTTTTTCAGTTTGCTTTCGAAAATGCCGCTTTGTGACAGACAGGACAATGGTAAAAACATGAGATCGTTATTTTGCCCTTTTATCGGTTAAAAAAAATTTAAAAATGAAGAAAATTTGCTTAACTCTCCCTTTCGAGATTTAGTTAGAAACTAGTAATGCAAATTGCACTACATTTCTGACCAGCTTGCATCTAGAAAACTGTAATTTTGTAAAAGAAACAGAGTGGCCTATACAGCTTTTGTTCCACAGGGTTTCTTTTTCGGTGTATTAGTGGCTCTGGATTATCTCGAAAACTGCATGGTAGATTTTTATCTTTTCTTTGTGTAGGCTTAAACCGAGAGAAGACTTTGTCGAAAAACTGATATAGGTGACGAAGTCTATTTTCATACTCGAGACTGCAGCGAATGGCTAAGCAACAATGTCCGTGCATGTCAAACAGAACCCACGCGCCCATGCGTGATAAGACTCCCTGGCAGTGGCAGCTGTATGATGAGCTAGACAGACTCAGTACATTATAAAAATTGCATAATAAAGCTAGCTGAGATGTTGGCAAATTCAAAGTGCGTGATTATTGACAGAAAAAAAAACCCTACATTATCTGTCCTTGTAGCCGGGTGAGCCTGGATGCTAACGAAAACTTTATTTTTGGGTAGTTCCCCAGTAAACACGACTTAGCATAAAACAGCTGAAGTTACTATAACCTTCGTAGAGATCATATAGCTACGTTATCACACTATGTTCTTATCAGCTAAATTGCTGATTACACATTAGATTAGCAAATAAATATGCTTTATTCTTTGGGTAATAATGTCTCGAGAAATACAATATAATAAGGTCAGTCTTTATATAGGTGCTCAGTAACGTAAACTTCTTAAGGAAAATCAGTTCAACACATGACTCAAAGTTACGTTACGCGATGACTGACGTCACCCTAGACCAAACCTTTTTGACTCGCATTCCATAACGGTTAACCAAATCACGCCTTTCAACGTGCCTCAAGTACTTCAAAATTTTGCACTGCACTCGTACACTTCTGGAGTTAAAAGAGCTATTGTGGGTCTAGATTTCATTAACATCGTCTTAATCGTCGGAGCCTCTAGCGGGAGGTAATGAAGGGAAAGGTAACGATTGCACACAGCGGTAGTAATGGAATTCAGCTGGAAATCGAATAGTAACCGACAGGATCGCCTTTTTGTACCAAGATGAATCGATCTCACGGTTTTGCAGAAGCCCAAACGTGTGAAAGGCAATCATTCACCTAACGCTGGTGAGGCGACCCCGTGCACATGGCTACATCCACGACATCGCCAGTCAGCTCCCAAAAAAAAATAGCTTTGCGATCCAACAGCAGTGGCAGCAGCTGCAGATCGGTTACCAGACAGGCAGTTATACCGCTCGTCGATTCCGTCTGCGCATCGGGACCTACACTTTCTGCTTCGTGCCGAGCGCACGACGACGATCGATCATTGCTCCTGCCGCTTAAAAAAAACGAGTGCGTGAATGAAAGGGGGCGCTCCAATCACACGTTCATTCTTGCCTTTCCTACCAGGCAGAAGCTGCGCTGGTGGCGCCATGGAGCGTGGAGTCGCCAGCTTCGTGTAGCGCAATCTCACATCTACTCCGCGAGTACGACGAGCTGCTGTGATTGCAGCCGATTTTAGGATCCGTCGAAGAGACTAGCATTAGTGGAGCCGGTATTTTTGTGCTGCGGGATGTTGAGCCCCAATCGAAAACCACGATGTAAAGGAATCCTCAAGATATTTTACTGTGTGATAGATGGCGGTTAGTATGAGTCGTCGGTATGACAAGAGCCCTTTGTGGTGCGTGCGGGCTTTGAGGCTCGATTTGCCGAGTGTGGCCGGTGCTCATCTAGGCTAAACCGCGGACCAGCTGAATTTGCGTCTTGAGATCACAAGTCGATTTTTTTGCTGACACGGCGTCCGCTTGCTCAGATGCTTGTTAATCGAACGGGATCTCCTAAGCGGTGACAGCGACAGGCCAGCACAGCGGAGTTTACGTGAGCTTCATTACTTTGGTAACTGTGAAACCGGCAAGGATACCTAAGGATTGCTGAGCTGTTCGTGAGCAATGCGAGGGGTCGGGAGTAATTGTCCCGGTTAAATGTATTGTAGGTCTTGAGTTTTGCATGGTGATGGTGGTGGTGTTCGCTAAAAGGAAACGCTGCTAAGGGGGGTTGATTACATTTTCTGGATGTGTGCGTGTGCAGCCCGTCGGGCGGTTTGTAGGAAAGGATATAACACTTCACCATTAAGGTACTGTGTTTGCGTACACTCTTTCGACAGAGATTTCCACGTTGTCACGACCACAGTCTTTAAGTAGCCACATTGATGTTGTTGCTGATGACGATGATGACAGTGACAAACAACTATGAGGGCATATAGCGTGTGCCGTGAGGGGTGATACGGAATGGAGAAGATTATATGTGCGTGCGTAAAGGGCTTAATTTATGTTCTAAGCCAAAGTTAGCTTAGTTCCTGTTATATTAGCTGATATGCTAACTCCAGGTTAGTGTATGAAGAAAGGAATTCAAATGCTATTACATATCGATTTAATGTGTAGCAAACATTTTGTGCGTATGTAATAAACTGTGCTCTGATCCCATTTCGTTTTGTCCAAACACATGATGTATTGTATGCGTTCACTTAGAGAGTTAATGTTGTCAACATGGTGGCCGTTTTACTGTCCTACTTTTCGGCAAAGCGCGTTTCTAACAGGGGAGAATTGCTTATTTGGCTTTGCACTGTCACCCGTGTATGGCATCAACGTCGTGCAGTACAATCATGGCAACAGTTCACAAAATGCATCGTGACTTCATACTACCGTTATGTACTTGAACCATATAGTCATTGAAAAATGCCGTTCAGCCACCTACTCAGGACATTGTTGAAGATCGCTATCTGTCCACTTCTCCGAGAAACATAAACTTATGCAGGTGTTGTAGATGCTATCTGCTATAAATCCTATTGATATTAAAAAAAAAAAAAAACTACGCAGTATGTAAGTGAAACGCGATGCATAATCGCATGGTGCGACTCTGTAGTCAAATGAGATATTCATCATCCACCACCCCCTTAAATGTTTAATGAAGCATTATATTTACAATTTATATGGAAATCATGAACCAGGAAAGTCAAGTTATAGAAAGGATACGTTATATAACGTCGCTCCTAGAAGTTATACTTGGGGTTGCGGCAGCATTTTCATAGCTATACTTTGCTTTTTGCTGTCATCAACGATTGGTTTGTTTAAATAAGAAAAATAAGTCGCACTTACGGCAGCTGTAACGTGGCATATTACATTAGCGACACGTATTAAATCTCTATTATATTTGAGACCTTTAGATAGATCAACGACACTACAAAGGCAAGGCAAGCTTGATTCAAACATCAGGGAAGGGACCAATTCCTGTGAGTGTTCGCTATTAGAACGGGTTTTATTTTGCTCTCTACTCTATTTCAACGTGTCGACGAAATTAAGCAGGATATTTTGTAAAGTAGCAGAGTTTTCGCCAAAATAGGAACAGCAAATTTTAAATCAAACGATTTTAAAGCTCTTAAGTTTATTTAAATTAAGTTATGTTTTTCTCGAATCTTGAAACAAAGACATTGCTCACTTTCGCATTTGTAATATTCTACAAGGACATAGTCAGAATTGCTTTGAATTATTATTATCCAAATGCCTTATTTGGATATATTGATGATTCGGTAAATGGGGTAGGAATATGGTGATATTAACATTAATTTTATTATCACAAAATGTTAACAATGTCGTGCTCAACCACCCTCCGTCTGTGTGAACGTACTTATAGGTACTTCTTTATTCAAATTTTACGGTCACTAATGTTGCCTGGCACAGTTTTAGAAGATTGGAGAAATGTATTTTTCATATGCACTGTCTATATTAAGGTTCTTCGTTTCTGAATGTTTTCAAGAGTCCTTCTCTCGTAGTGCATTAAGGAATTAGTTATTTCAATCACTATGTGCTTTTTATGTAATTATTGCGCTTAAAAAATTACCAACGTTTCGGTGTGGTTATTTGAATGCGATTTGTTAAAATGCGCTTTGTGGTTGTTTTTACTTCAAACACAAGAAGCATCAACAGATCATAGCCAGTGCTTCACGAGGGTCTTTTTCGTCCACTATCCAAACGCTCCATAAAACATTCATGATAAGGAAGCATGTTAAATAAAAGTTGAAATTAAGTCCACAACAAAGGGTTTTGTCGGTAGCCGATACTAGAGAGGGGACTTCATTGGTCAGTCTAACTCAATGTAATGTTTTGTCAACAATTTCAGGAAATGCCAGCTTCAGGCAGAAGCGAGAAATAGTCAAAAACACGAGTTACAAACGCCGAGCATTCTGCGTTGAACAACAACAAATTGCATGACGTTTTTTTTATTTAACTGATTGCATGCACTGTCCTACCTGCATGTGTCGTCCATATATTCCCTTATACCGCTGTATATTAGCCCCACTGGCAATGCTACTTGCATCTGTCCTATTCTAAAATTTGTTTTCGAATTTGGAAGACAGTTTAATACTTTAATTGAAATTTTCTGCAACGAATGTGTCACAAGGAGATAGATGTAGAAGAATAGTGTGCTATCTCTAGTTGAAAAAGAGGATTATATACACACGCATGCCGCTCAAAAGGAAGCAACATGACAATTCCTTTGTCCTTGATTGACGTGTACATACTGTTTGCGTTTTTTTTCCAGCGGTGTGCATTGCCCAGCCAGACAGGGGCAGCCCACGCAGTAAATGCTCGGGAGGACTCATCCCAGCATCCACCTCGGCATCGGCTTGTACACGAGCTTTATGCGCTACTGCCTCTTCGACGTCAACCTTATCCACGTTTATTTCCCCATTGAGTGACCGCGGTGAATACAGGTAAATACATAGATATGTTATAATTTCAATGATCTCTGCAATTGCTGATGATTTCCTATGAAATTTATACTGGAATAGAAAAACGCATTGAGAAGTCTGACGTAATGCTTCACAAGGACATAGGCGAGGGAAAGTTCTAACCTTTTTTCAGATTCATTGAGTTTATTCTCTATTCATAACGAAATTTGTGAAATTTGCTGTAGCACAAGTTCGCATACTAAATCTTATTTCTGGATATCACGTATACGCGTCACGTGTTGATTAAAGAAGGCTAAGAAGGAGTTTTCGTTGATTAACTGCGTTTTACCTGCTGTTTTGACCGAATACAGGTATCTTTGCAGGATATGCGGATTCATGGCTAAACGTCGCAAGCAAGCTCTAGAACATCAATACAAACATCTTGAAAAGTAAGTTTTGTATATCCTTGCAGTGAGATCTATAGGTTCATTCACTTTATCACGCAGATTAATGAGAAAGTTATGTCCTTTGTAACTGTCTCATTTTTAGCTTTAGGAGCGTACCCTATCTTGAATATTGCATCCGAAATAGGACGATGGTGTACTTTCGACGAGTAATTCTTGTAAAAATGTTGCTATTATAGTTTAATATGCGAGCTAACTAGCTTTATACGTCGCCTGGCTATTAGTTATTTTAACATTGGAAGCTGTTAACGTCCATTAGATTCTTTTCGAAGGTTTGCCGAAAGGTAACATGTAAGCCCAAAAGCAGCCATAACAATCGTTGCACAGAAAATCAGGCTCGCCCGTCAGAGAAGCTGACAAGTTATGCGTTATCCCATTTTAATACAGTGCTTTTGCTATTTTGGGAAAAGAGGCGCACATTTACAAAACATGTAATAAAGTTATAATAAAACAGAGCGTCACAACTGTATTTCACTGCGTTTCATGTGACTCTGTAAGAATGTGCGCCGTGCAGAAGTTCTATTAATTTCTATTGGTGACAGGCTGACGTTTGCTTTATTGTACAGTGAAAACTTCCTGCTTTTTGGGCGACTTGGCTAAAGGCAGTTTTCGATGCGAGGGCGTTAACTACTAATCATTCGCTGGTACAAAAATTTCTCGCAGGGAACTGTGGATTGGAAAACGCTCGGACCCTAAGTCGTTTTTGGGCTATTATTTGACAGCCGGAATATTTACGGAACCTCAGTGACTACTGGTTTCATGTCTGAGGAGATTAGTTGTCTTCTGTATCATATTCTATGTGCTCAATAACTCTTCATGGGTAAAATGGTAACGAATAAATCTCATTCGTACGGATTCTTTAAGCGGTTACATATTCGAGCGGGAATGATCATCTCCGTACGATGAAGCAGTCGGCTGAGTCGATATATTTACAGCGACTACCTTGAATGCAAATCTGTTTCAGCTATCCATACCAATGCAGTAAGTGTGACTACGGAACTGTACGGAGCTTCAATCTTAAACGCCATTATGGCCGTATTCACTCGATTGTAGCGACGGATGTTTCCGACGACGAGAACACGGGTGAGACGGACACAGGTGGTCGAGGTTCCGATTTGAAGCAAACGGAATACCACCCACATCATCATCACCACCATCACCATTCTCAGCTCCAACAGCAGCAGGCACAGCCACAGGCATACATTAAACAACGTGATCAAGAGCAAAGGCCAGCAGAGCATCAACAGCAGCTGCAACAGCAAACTCAGCTCGAACAGCAGTATCGTCGTTGCGCGCTTGTCGAGTCATCATCGGAGCAGGAACATCATCATCGTTATCAGCAACAGCAGGAGCAACAACAACAACAACAGCATGAACAACAAGAAGTGCGTAGGCGTGATCAACTTGCGCCACAACACAGGCAGCAGGTCAACTCAGCGGCAGAACATCCTGTAAACACTGACGCCTCCGATCTCACAACAGATAACTGCACGGCTATAGCGACCGAAGTGACAAGCAGTCATAGCGGGTGCAGCAACAACAAGACCCAGCTATCAGCTACGGACAGTCGTTGCATTATTTGTACTCCGAATACGACACCTCCAATTGTTCCAGTGGGAACCCAGTCCGTTGTGTCGACACAATTAGATATTTCTGGCAGATGTCGGCCTTCGCCACAGGTGACCATATCTCTTACAGCCGGTACCGTGGCGACGGTTACCACAACTACTAGAATCGGTATCGTTGCTCAGCAGTCGCAGATATTTACTTCAACGCCTGTTACCGCATTCGGGACTCCCCCGACTGCCAAGGTAAGCATGTTGAAAGTTCAAACGAAATATCATACCGCAAGTACTAAGGAAATCGCAATTCTGTAGGGGACCTAGTTGTCCTAGTTAAAGTTTGTAAAAAGCAAAACTTGAAACTGTTACATTATGATGTAGTGCGATAAACTTCTTCTTCAGGAACCGTCGATTGCATGATTCGCTTCTACGGGGCAAATAAATTTGCTTAGTAGAAAGCAAAAATAATGTTTTTGTTAAACATCATTTTGCTGTGCCATTTTTTGCAGAGACCTCTGCTCGTTGCTGTTCCTGGCGTCGGAGCAATAGCTCCATCAGTGGGAGGTGCGAGCACAAATCTGTCTTCGGCAATTCCATTCGCGGCCCAAGCTCTTCAAGAACTAAGCAGAGCGCCCCGTCTCGGCGTGTTCACGCAGCAGTCGCAACAGCAGCACCAAATAGAATCTCACCAGGTGTGAACTGTTACCTTTGAAGGCCGCATTATAAACAGGCGTTCCGCCGTTTACCAATCACTAATCATTTCTCAAATAGTAGAGTAAAACAAAGAATTATATTATGCTTAAATTATCCTCTTTTAAAACACAATGTCATCGGCGGTTTTATGATCGGTAGCTAAATCAGACAATTTAACACGGATTGGATGGACTTCTAGATCACTAAAGAAAACTTCGGAACTCCATTTAAACTAAGGCCCCCAACAATTTGTAATTTTTTCAGGCTTTGCTTAGCCAGCCAGTAGGACGTGATCAGTCGAATTCTTTAATGGTCGCCGAGTACTCGCGACCTCTTTGCAGTACACCAACATTGTTACGAACGATGACGCCTGTTGGGTATGCATCGGCTATTAGTGCTGGAGGGGATTCCGGACTCTTCACATCCATTATAGACGATCCTCCAGAAACAGATGGCCCTGAGGAAATTATCGAAGAACAACAGCATCCGCATCAAAAACAGCTCTCACCGATGTCCACTGCCAACTCCGGTAACATTCAAACAACCTCAACTTGTGCAAATGTATCCGAATTCACTCCACAAAGCAGCAGAGAATTTCTCGATGACCCTAACACAATTATGCAACAACGTTTGCGGAGTGTATGCCCTCCTGAAGAACGGGGAGAACGACTCAGTCCTCCTACGGGGGCTGCCAGACGCAAATTTCGACTGCCATATCAGTTTGCTTCAGGAGCAGCATTAGCAGCAGCCACTTCAGGTGGATGCAACCCTTGCAGCAGCAGAGTCTCACCGGATTTATCATCATCTCGAAATCTCAGAACGGCAATATTCAAATCTAACCGGAGCGTCCGGCGTCATTCGATGAATCTCGCGGAAGGCAGTGAGCCCAGGGAGATTCAGAACAGGCGCATTCAGAACAGGCGTGACAGGAGAAGAAGCAAGAAACGTCCCACAACTGCGCGTGCTGTTAATGAAGAGAGTTCTTCCTGTTCAGAAGGTGGGGGCACACGTCACGAGGAAACCACTAGCGACAGTGACTGCCTCGTTATCGAAGAAGCGACTTCGGACATGGACGATATGTCATAGTCATAGCCGCTTCGTTAAGTAATCGAGGATCGATCTAATTATAATATATTATAACTGCTGGTCTCGAAACTCGAAAAGACTGCACAGATGTAAAATATTTAGGCTTACAGTCGATTATAAATCTACGCATATAAATATATATATATTGTTTATTGTTGGCGAGAAATAGGTGTTGGAGCTTCTAAAATGCTAATGAGTGCATGGAGAAACTTAAACATCGTTCTTGTTAATAATGACGATCACGTGCTCAAGTGTTCGATGTTTCCAAAGAGAATGTTTACAAAAACAAACAAATATGAGCCAAGCAAAGTCACAAGTGTTTACACTTGATTTATGTTTATCGTTGCTGCTATTCTAAAGCACATAGTCCATGGCCACCTCGTGCATTAAACGCTAACTCTTCTCTCAAGCATTAATCAAATCAATGCCAAAGCTTGACAATGGCCTGTTTATAGGCTTTGTAGAACGATTTCTACGGAGATGTTCTGCATATCGTGCAAGTATATAAAATATCTATCGAGCCAATATTAATTGAAAGGAACTAAATAATATGAAACTATTTTTGCGTACGTCTTCCGCATATAGAACTTACACAAGTACACATCGTGGTAACCACTTAGGTATGCGTTATGTTAATGCTAAGTCAGCGCGTCTTGTCGAACGCAATGCCGCCAGCCTACTACGAAAAATAGAAAATACCGCAACTCAATATATATATAC